AGTAATTAAAATTGCATAATGATAAAAAAATGTCTTGTCCCAGAAGGATTCAATGAACCAGGGCTTAAAGAACTAACTTAAAAAATAGGGGTTAAAAATCTTTGAACATATTTAATAATATAACCCTTATAATGAAACTAAAAGCATTACAAGAAAATTAAGACCCCCTAACTGCTTCATTAACAAAGATACATAAAGACACACACACACAGTCCTCAAAATGTTTCAGGGTGTTCATTCTAGAAATACATAAAAATAAAATATTTCAAGAAGAATGACGTTTCAAAGAAATGTTATGTCAATATTTGAAAATCACTAACTATAGTTTAATAGTTTGTAAATGAAAATTGAGATACTATGAACACACCAGTAAAACATTTGATGAATTTTATCATCTAATCATGAGAAAAACCACCAGCAGATTATGAAAGACAATCAAGTATCTTATTTTGATGTCTAATGTTACCCGAGGGTTTGTGAGATGAGAATTCAGTGACTCTGCAACACAGCAAAGGCCCTCCACTGTGATGAGGCTGTTAGTCAAGAGGTGTGAGGAGGAAGGGACTCCACTGCTTACTGATGATGTGGCCTTCACATAGAAAACCCTTAATTATTTGCTGATGGAATTAGACCGTTAAGTAAATTTAACAAAACAATTTGATACAGGCTTGGGAACATTACTGTTTATACCTAAACTTTTTAAGTGATCTTGGTTATATTCTGGTCTCTTAATGTGAGATAAATAACTTGACTTTTACAATGACCTAACACCCTCCAAAACACAGGTCCTTAGGAATAAATGTAAGCAGATAGGTGTGAGAGTCCTGCAGAGATACCTGTGAAACCTTCCAGAAAGAATCAGAAGCACAGCCAAAGAATGGTGTGAACCATGGATGGGGGGAGCAGGATGCACTGGTTTAGATGGTTTCAGGGAAATTGACAGTTTGATTCTAAATTTATGTAGAAACACAAAGGGTCAAGAATAATGAAAACTGTCTTGAACAAAAATAGAAAATTTACACTACTAGATACCAAGACCTACCATAAAGCTATAGGAGACATGTGCAATGGAGTAAAGAAAGAGCAGCATTGGGATGAAGATTGTAGAACCCAGACAGGAACACAAAGACATGCTTGTAAACCACCTGATTCGTGAACAGGGTTACTGAGATTCTCTTTTAAATAAGTGATACTGGATCAACTAGTATTCATATAGGCAAAATCTGAAAATTGACCTCTCTATCACACTATGCAAAAAAATGGACACCAAAGGCCTACATCCATAAAGGAAGACAATGTAAGATCAACATAGTTAAGTCAGCATTTACATTGATACCTTGGGATGAGCAGACAATCTCAACTCATGCCCAAGTAGCTTGAGCTATAAAAGAACATATTTAATGAGCTGGACTTTATTTTAAAAAATACAAAGTTATACAGTTTGTTAAGAAAATAAGCGTGTAAAATCTAACCAAGGGTGTAGATTGGTTGAAATGCTTTTCATATGTCCGAGGCCCTGACTTTGAGATTCAGAACAAGACAGGCAAGAGAGGAGAAAGGAAGAGCAGGAGATGAGGATATTCAAATGAAAATGAGAGGTTGGAGAGATGACTCCATAGTTGTGAGCTCTTGCTTGTCTTCTCCAGGACCTGAGTTCAGTCTCAGCACCTATGTCTGGCAGCTCATAACTGACTGTAACTTCAGCTCCAGGGGATCTGACATTCTCCCCTGACTTCTGTGGGCACCTGTGTGCTTGTTTCATGCATTTACAGAGACATAGACACACACACACACACACACACACACACACACACGTAATAAAATTAAGTCTTGAACATAGACTCAAAGCCTCTTTTAGATAGGCAAAGAAACTAGAATATACATACTCATAATAAACATGAATGCAAAGAACACACACACATGCATACACACACACATACACAGGCATACATACAAAGGATACCCAAACTAAGCATAAGAAAAAGGGGAACAGACATCTAGGATAGCACCATTGAAATTACTTTGTTCATTTCCCCCTCATTCCACTCTACATAGAGGAACAGAGTTCTGCTTATCGTACAGAGAACAGATGTGTAAGTGAGTGGCATGCATTTTTCTGATGTCATATATATCTACTGAATCATATGTACAAAATTATTCCTCGGTTGAAAAAACAAACAAACAAAATCACGGAGCTCTTTACTGGCACTTCTCTGTTGAAGGCCCATGTTTGTGAAACTGATGTGGAGTCATTCAAGATAAAATCGTTTCTGGGTGGGATCAGTCTTTTCTCTGTTGGAAACTTGGTCCTGGGAGTCACTTAAATTCTAGGCCTCAGCTTCCCCTCTATGATGATGATTCAATGATGCTTTTTTAGAGCACATACAGGAATGAGATAATAAATACAAAAACATCACAGTTTTATAGGTATACATGGGGAGAGGGGCAGACATTGCTGGAGCTGGACACAACACCTTCACTGTTATGTGTATATCACATGTGGGAATTAGTAATAAATGCAAAATTATCACAGAGTTTTATAGGTATACTTGGGGAAATGGACAGACATATTCCTGGAGCTGGAGACAATATTTTCATGGTTATATGTATAACACAAGCCACTTAAAGTCACTATTGTCCCCTCTTTTATTTATTAAGAATTAATGGATGCTCCTAAAAATTATAAATTTTTGCAGATACTTTTGTGTCACCATGCACACTGGACACAGAATAACTAAAATATTTACAGTGCCTCTTATATGTTATTAATTAGAGGAGTGATGAAAGCCATTACTTTGGGAAACAGAATGAAATAGCCAATACTATCAATCAATGCAGAAGCTTTAGGTATTCTGCAAAGAATTGGGAATTTTCACTGTTGTTTATTCTTAAGACTTCTTTTGATGTAGACCCTCTCTTGGGTTGATCAAAGCAAAGTAAGCCTGGGCTCTGAAGACAGTGGAGTGATGAGAAGAAAACAATTCCCCTAACAGTTTCAAGCTACCTCTTGGTCTAAACTCCCTGACCTGAGGCTGACCTCCTATGATTTGCATGTATAGGGTCTGCCAAGAATGTTCCTACTCACAATATAGCCTGGAAAATTATTATTCATGTTTTAACATTGCATACCCATTCCATCAAAGCTTCCTGTCTTAGGGTTCCTATTGTGTTGATAAAACACCATGACCAAAGCAACCTGGGGGAAAAGGGTTTGTTTCACTTACATCTCCAGGAAATAGCTCATCACTGAGGAAAGGCAGGAACCTGGTGACAGGAACTGAAGCAGAGGCTTTGATGGGATGCTGCTTACTGGATTGCTCCTCATGGCTTGCCCAGCCTGCTTTCTTATTCCATCTAGGACTATTCCCCAGGGCTGAAACCACCCACATCGAGCTAGGCCCTCCCTCATCAATCATTAATTCAGAAAATGTCCCCACAGACTTACCTATAGGCTAATCTTATAGAGGCATTTTCTCAATTGTAGAACCCTTGTGTTGGATAACTCTAGCTTGTACCATATAAAAAAACTAGTAAGGATGCCTCCTAACATCCATGGAGATCCACGCTGGGCACCAGAGATGCACTCTTCCTCATGTGGGCACTGTCTGTACCAACATCCTGGGAAAACTGGCCTCACTTGTGCCTCCCTCAGTTCTCAAGGCTCTGGTGTGCACACACTGTTAGAGATCAACTTTCCCAGATAGCTGTGGTTCCCTGAGAGAAAGGCCTGGGTCTATTCACCTTTCCCCAAGCAACGGGGAGGTCTGACATACAGTGGCACTCAATAAATGTTTGCTGGATGACATTAATTATTCACAGGGCCTTAATACAGTCAGCTCTGTTCAAGGATTCTCTTGATGAATTATTTAGAAATAAAAACAACTGTATCTAGTTAGAGTCCAACTTTTTGAGACATTCTTTGTTCCTTATAGGCTATTGTAGGAGTGTTTTCTTAATGGCCTCAGGGGCTGCCTCACGCAGCTGGTCCTGGTGCTGGTGACAATGAAAGCATGCAGGAAGGTAGGGGAGAGGATGCCTGCAACCTGCAGCATGTTCTAGTTTAAAAATGTCAGTCTCTTCTGGGGGAGAGCAAAGCAGAGCATTGTATTTGATTGTATTTAATTGACAATATGTCTGTGTGTATACATATAAATACAAACACACACACATGTATATATTTACATATATTCACACACATATGACTTAAATCTGAATTAAATATGTCAGGGAATCTGTTACATGTTCATAATAGTTGACAACATACACCCAGATGGAAACACACTTGGAGATATTCAGAGTTTGAACATTGAAACAGAAGTTTAGTACAGCCTACAAATAGGGATCATGTTGGTTACTAAAAAGCACAATATAGTTGTAAAAGTTTCCTAAAGATCATAAAGCACGCTGAATTACTTTTGAAAAAAAATCCCATTATTTGTGCTGAAGTGGGAGAAGCAGCTGTTCTTGCAGTAGCGCTAGGCACATTTTGATGGCTGGCTCAAGGAACATAAATGTCAAGGAGACCTCAGAGATTAGAAGATAAAATCTGTATCTGCTTTTTTGAGATAAGTAACATGTCTGGCTTTAATGATCTTGCAAAAAAAAAAAAAGCCCACAACAACAAAAACAAGTCTGTAGGAAGGACCAGGGGTGGAAACAGAAAGTGGAAATGGAGAAGGTTAGAGAAAGAATAGGAACAGAGAAGGAGTGGGGATAGAGAGAGTGGGAACAGGGAAAGAGGAGAAGCAGGGAGAGAAGGGAAAGAGTGAGGAAAGAGAAAGAGTGGGAACAGAGAATGGGTGGGAATAGAGGATGAGGGGTAACAGGGAAGCAGAGAAAGGGTGGGAACAGAGAGAGAGTGGGGACAGGGAATGAGCCGGGACAGGAAGGAAGGAACAGAGAGTGAGCGGGACAGGAAGGAGGGAACAGGGAAAGTGTGGGACAGGAAGGAGGGAACAGGGAAAGTGTGGGGATGGGGATAGAGTGCCAACAGTACCTACTTGGTCTGATGTTTCGATCCTTGCAGGTGTGCATGGTACTGTTCTATTGAGTTGAGTGACACACTGCAGATGGTACATCTGTAAGTGCGTCTCAGACCTGTGGGTGACAGACAGACAGACATGGTTAGCTGCATCCTGCCGTCAGTCCTGATGATGACCGAATTTTAGAATATTCACAAAGGCAAGTTCTGAGCATTAGAGAAGATACTGGTTCCCCTGACCAAGGCCACTCCTGTCCCTCCTTCTAGAGCCTAGCCACCAGATTCAGAAGATGTGGGAATGTTCAGGTGTTTATAAGAAGTCTTTTCTATTTATAGATAGGTAAAAACAAATGACTCTGAACACAAGTTAAATGTTTGGGGAATTTTCATGTCAACTCAAGAACCATGCTGCTTTTTCCATAAGTCATATAGATGTTTTTTATCTCTACAGTGAAATAAAAAACAAAACAAAACAAAAACCAATCCCATTCCTTTGTCATCTCCCCTCCAAACCAGAGCTGAGGTATAACATTAGATGCTATTAACCTAGGCGTGATCCTAAGATTGTCCTAAAAACTGCAAGTAACCAATAGAAATAAAATGGACCAATCCATTCTCAGGTCTAGCTTCCCATCAGAGTTAAGGTCATCCATGTATTCTCCTGTTTATTCATTTGCCTCATTGATACAGCATCAGCTGTGGGCTAGGCACCCGGGAATTCCAAAATAGAAAAGACATGCTTGGCTTTCAAGGCATTTAGGAAAATCGTGAGTGTTTCAGAGCACTGATTTGTCCAAAGGAAATTCTGTAACCATCAACATTATCTACATCACATTAAACCTCCAGTGCAGTAGAGACCCACAATGGCACATCTTCCTCCTACTGCTACTCCTAAGAAGGGAGAAGAAAAGTGGAGCTAACGCTGAGCCCTACAAGTCATCAGGACACACTAGTCAGTTTGAGACCCTTGCAAGGAAAGACATGTCTGTGCCAGCTTGTGTGGTTTCTGAAGCTTCCACACAGCATCCTCAGCCTTGGAGGAACCAGGGAAGACGTGGTGAGGAGAAGAAAGAATGAAGTCCTACAGGACAACTCAAAGCTCCAAGAAGGAAAAGAAAGAACTCTACCACATATGTCTTCATGATAAGCAGTAGGGACATCTTTTCTGCCTTGGATATGTTAGTGGGAATTTCCCGTTTCTGTGGATGACATTGAAAATTCAGGCAATGAAAGAACGAGTCCCACAGAGGCAATGTGACTGGAAAGCATGGCAAAGTAGAGCTGACTCTAGAGTCTGACGTCAGGTGCCTGCAGTCCCACTGATGGAGTGGGATAGCATCCCTGGACCTGCTTTGAACATCTGTGATGTGATCAAAGAGCCAAAACTCATAGTCCAGTGCCTTAGAGCTGCCACCCAGGAAAAACTTCTGTGTCAGGGGTCCTCACCCTGCCTAATGTTGTCCTTCAATACAGTTTCTAATGTCACAGTGACCCCTGACCATAACATTAGTTCAATTTTGCTACTGTTATGAATCCTAAAGTAAATATCTGATATGCAGGATATCTGATATGCGACACTGAGCAAGGGTTGTTTGGCCCCCGAAAAGGTTTGCGACCTGTAGATTGAGAACTACTGTTCTACAGGATCTGTTCAGAGAGCTATGCACAGAATCAGAAAGTGTTTTAAACCAGAACCCCATCTTACCCTATACTCAAAAAACAGCTGGGCATGGCGGCATACACCTTTAATTTCAGCACTTAGGAGGTGGATCTCTGAATTAGAGGCCAGCCTGGTCTACAGAGAGAAATCCAGGACAGCCAGGGCAACACAGAGAAACCCTGTCTGGAAGCCCCCACCCCCAAATGGACAAACAACAACAAAACTTCCCAGCTTCCTCATTGGATCATGCCTCACACTCTTTGATGCTGGACTTAGAACCAGCTAGGGTGGGTCTGAGGAATGAAAACCAAGTTGCTCTATTAAAAAGAGCTGAGCTTGCACGGACTTTTCCACTTCAGAAGGATTATCCTGCTCTCCAAACCCAGAGGCTATAAGTTATCACAGCCAGTATAGAAGTTGTCAGGATGCTTATCCAGGCCTGGTCCATGCTGCTCTTTTATGCATAGAATCAAAATATGAAATCTGGCTTCAGGCAGTAACTCCCTCCGGAGGTCTCCATCAATCTCTTCATAATAAACAGTAACTGCTATGTGTGAGTCCTCCTTAGAGTTCACACTAATCAAAGGGCTCCTCTAAAAAAACTGGAGGTTCAGTTTGGCAATAGGCATAAATATTTATGTTTAAAACTGGGAACTTTTAAGAACATCAACAAATCTGAAAAATAGTCTGATCTGCTGGTTTCTGGAAGTATTCTCATACTCTGAAACCAAACCAAAGCATGGGCTGGGGATGTCTGGTGCTTTATTGCAATATTAGCCTCAGGGGAGATGAACTGAAAGGTTGTGAGCATAAATAAGAACAAAGGTAGAGGGAGCCTCCCACACACAAGACATGGTGTCATCCTCAGTGGGAACTTGGGGATTTATTAATAGTTAGTTGAAATCCTAACTGCTTTGGAATTATATGGCTCTTGTTTTTCTCAGGGGATCTAGAGAATCTAATTATTCAATCAAAAATGTCAACTTCTTTACTGAATCCATTTCAGCATATTAACACATTTACAGCATCCTAAAGTCCCGGGAGTCTAGTAGGATGGTGTGGGAACAAGACAGAGTTCCTCACGTGGACGATCCAGAAGGATTTTCTTGAAGACGAATCACTTGTATTTATATTTCCCAGCGCAGTGTTTATAAAAACAGATGGGTTTGGAGAATTTAGCAGAATGTGACGCCTCAATGTGTCTTCTCAAGTCTAGTAAACCTAGAGTCCACATGGCTTCAACTATATTCTCTGTACTTTAGAGAAGTGGTACTGGGGCTGCACTATGGTGCCAGGCATTTTTGCTGAATGCCCAGGGTATTGGAAATAATAAGACATCGTATGCTTTCGTATGGAGCTATTTTCAGAGAAAGGTAAACAAAGAGTTAAGGGCCCCTGAGTTCTTGGCACAGAGAGGATACCCCTAGTCCCCATTAGGAAAGCTATGTTTGCACTAGACAGCAGCAAATAGAAACTCACAGGTGGTCCAAGTAATGAGAATAAGTGATGATGGAGTGATCTGTCCTAAATATGACTCACCTACCTCCTTCCAAGGCTTAGGAACACAGTGGAGTAGGGGGCAGGGAAGGAATGAACATGTCAGGGGTTGGGGAGGACACCTGTGAAACAGTGTCATCTAAGCATGACAGGGGGAGCAATCCTGAACTCATGGCAGCTGTGGTTGCCTGAATAAGACCTGAACAAGATCCAGCATGGATGGGTTGCACTTAAGGTTCACTCTAGATGAAGAGCTATTGGCAGTTAATGTCTGTTGAGGAAGGAATAATCAGCTTTATTTGGGGAAGTGTGTGGCCCCACACTCATGCCCATGTGGACTTCATTAACTGGACTCTGGGCTCTGTGGGGAGCTTGATAAAAACAGAAAGTCTGCAAACTGACTCTGGGTAAGGAACGGTCCAAGGGAAAGGAGTCAGCATTTGGAAGGCAGAGGAGGAAATGAGCCTGAGTGAAAGGATATTTAAAAAGAAACATAAAAGAATTAGAAAAAGCAAAAAATTCTTGTCAACACAGAATTCAACATCTATTAGTATAACATTTGAAACCCAAGGGAGCCTAGCCTTTAATAGCTGAGCCATCTCTTCAGCCCAAAGAATAGAGGAGAGCAGGATAAGAGATACCATAAGAGAGAGGAGCCATTATAAGTTGGAGGAGAGATCTGGCAACAGTGAGATCTTCACAGATCTACAAGAATGACACCAAGTGTCATTGAGGCTACCTTAAATGTCCTCCCCTGATAATGAGATTGATGACTACCTTATACACCATCCTAGAACCCTCATCCAGTGCCTGACAGAAGCAGAGGCAGACACCAACAGCTAAAAACCAAACTGAACTCCTGGAATCCAGTTGCAAAGAAGAGTGATGAGCAAAGGAATCAAGATCCGGCTGGTGAAACCCACAGAGGTTTCCCCTAAACAAGGGGAACACATGAACCCCCAGACTGATGACTGAGGGCCAACATGGGACTGATCTAGACACCCCCCCCCACTGAACCTGGGTGTCAGAGAAGAGGCCTCGGCAATCTATGGGACCTTGGAGAGTAGATCAGTATTAATTCCTAGCATACAAATACACTCTGGGAACCCATTCAACATGGAGGATGCTCTCTCAGCCTGGACACATTGGGGAGAACCTAGGCCCAGCTTGGGATGATATGACAGACTCTAAAAATCCCTCATGGAAGCCCTTACCCTCCCTGAGGAGTGGAGGGGGGACGGAGTGGGGGATTGGGAGGTTGGGGGAACAGGGGAGGAGGGTAGGAAGAGGGAACTGAGAGTAACACATGTAAAAAGTTAAAAAAAAGTAAAGAAAAAAGCCCAAGGGAAAGCTAATACATATGTTCATAAGCAAAACCTAGCCACACAGTATGCCTACAAACTTGAACTACTACTGTTATGTGAAGTTCTTAAGGTGCAGGAAAACAAAACAAATGAAAACTATATTAAAACCACTTTTAAATTAAGATCTACAGGCAAAAACAACAACAACATGAAAACCAGAAAAGATGAATGTGATGCCAGGCAGATGACACCAGGCTTGACTGCGACCATTTGAGGACTCACATGGGGAAAAAAGAGAACATAGTTCCGAACATTCGAACATTGTCCTCTGATACCACATCTGCACTGCAATGTACATGTATGCATACTCACATACATAATGCACACAGACACACACACAGACACAAATAAATTTAAATGTAAAAAATGAAATATCCAAGTTTGCAGTCCCAACAGCAACAGAGGGGTGTTCCCTTTACTCCACATCCTCTCCAGCATAAGCTGTCATTGGTGTTTTTTATCTTAGCCATTCTGACAGGGGGAGGATGTTACCTTAGAGTTGTTTTATTTCCATTCCCATGATAGTTCAAGATGATGAGCAATTCCTTAAGTGTCTTTTGGCCATTCAAGAGTATTCTGTTGAGAATTCTCTGTT